TGACATTATCACATGGTATATTCAAATATCTGTATCTTTTAACCCTTAAATGATGAGATAAGGATGCACAAATGAACACGCCAAACGGTTAAAACAACAAAATTTATTTTTTAAAAGGTAGTTTTTACGTTTTTTTGTGTAAATTATAATATATTAAACTTTAACGTCCCCAAGACGAAATTAGTGTCTTTTACTCATCTTAGAGGACCATTTTTGCTTCTCATCAACATGCTAACCTAAGAGAAAAGCAAATCAGTTCTTGGTCGTTCCAATGACATGAAGTGGAATGATTATAATGAATCGACTGCTAGGTCTGCTGATAGGAACATTGGTTCACTGTGTCGTGTCAGACAATTTTTTTCTCATCAGAATCCATCTTGCACATTTATAAATCTACCATTCGCCCGTGTATTGAATATGCCTGCCATATTTGTCTGGTGCTCCTCATATATATCCCGAGATACTTGATAAAGTCCAAAGATGTGTCTGTAATGTTATAAGTCATGACCTGACATCTGGACTTCATCCACTTTCCAATCGCCGTGGTGTGGCTTCCCTCTGTCTTTTTTATAAATATTTTCTTGACAATTGTTCTAATGGACTTTCCTCTTTGGTACCTCGATCGCGTGAATTTAAACGCTGTACTAGATTGTGGTGTCATCCGCGTAGATGCCAACTTGGGAAGTTATGGCATCAGGAAGGTCATTTATGTAGATAAGGAATAGAGTGGGGCCTAGGATGGAGCCTTGAGGAACACCTGCGTTCGTGGGATAGGAACTGGAGGAGAATCCGTTGAGAACGACCTTCAATTCACGGTTTGACAGGAATGATCGTATTAGGTTATATAATCGACCCGTAATGCCATAACCCTGGAGCTTGCGAAGAAGGCCGGCATGCCAAACCCTATCAAATGCTTTGGAGATGTCTAGTGCCACGGCTCGGGCTTCCCCGTTATTTTGAAAAGCTCGGTAGACTGTTTCAGTGATGGCCGTAAGCACATCGGCTGTAGATCGGGCAAAGCGGAAACCATATTGCTTGTCTGAGAGCAGATTATGGGATGTGAGGTGGTTAACCACCCCGGTATTGATTAGGGCTTCGAAGACTTTGCCGAAGAGGGGAAAGAGACTGATAGGACGGTAGTTGGAAGGGTCAGAGGGGTCGCCGGAGTTCTTGAAGACAGGAACGATCGAAGAGGACTTCCAGCAGTCAGGAAAACAAGATTCCTTGAGGCAATAGTTGTATAGTTTAGAAAGTGCGGGCGCCAGTTCAGGCGCACATTTCTTCAAGACAATGGCTGGTATCCAGTCTCCACCACTAACCTTGTTGGGGTCTAAATTGGAGATAACGGCCAGTACCAAAGATGGGGTTATGTTTAACCCACTCAATATGGCCTCAGTTCTAAGAGGGAAGTCGGGTATGGGTACACAGGAAGAGTCGAGCGTCGAGTTGAATGAAAATGTCCGAGCAAAGCATTCAGCCTTGTCGGTAGAGGAGGTCAGGACTTCGAACTGGTTGAACAAAGGAGGTATAGAGGGTTTGCAATTGTTCAATACGTTCTTGCAGAGACGCCAATAACCTTTAGAGCCAAATTTGCGAGATGCAATACGTTCCTTCATCCGAGCCGCAAATAGTGACTTAGCATCATTGAGGACACGCTTACATTCGGTACGGGCAGAGGCAAAGAGACGTCTATTGCAGTCAGACATGTCGTGGTTCCTATGGGCGATGGCGGCTGAGCAAGCAGCCGAGAACCAGGGGGAGGAGCGCGACTTGACCCTATATTTCCTTGATGGGATGAAAGCGTCGATTCCAGCTTTAACCCAGGAAGAGACCTCAGAAGCACATTCTTGAACGGGGAGCTTAAAGACTCCATTCCAGGGGACATCGCGGAGGAAATCACGGAACGCGTCCCAGTCAGCTCGTTGATAGTAGAACGAAGTTCTAGTGGTAGGAGGTTCTTTATAGGGGCGGGAGTTGAAGGAGATGTTAACTGATACTACTGCATGATCAAAGTTACCAAGAGGGCAGAGTTGCGAGGCGCTGCAGGATTCGGGGATGGAGGTAAAGCACAGGTCGAGAAGAGAGGCTTTACCTTCCCGGTTGAAGGCAAAACTAGTGGGGAAGTTAACTATCTGTGTGAGGGAATGGGAGATTGAAAAATTGAGCGTTTGAATGCCTGCATGGTCGGTAGTAGCATTCTAGAGCCACAGAGTGTGATGGGCGTTAAAGTCACCAAACACAAAAATGTGAGCAAACGGGTGGAGGGAGAGAGCCTTGTCTATGCTGTCAGAAAGTATCAAGTATCTCACAGTCTTGAGAGGATGGAGAGCGGTAAAGGAAGAAGAGATAGCTTACCGCATTGAGGAGAGAGAGTCGGAGACACATGTATGACTGGTCTGGCGATTCGAGAGAGAACTCTCTGGCCAGAGGGAGATGTTCCTTGACGTAGACACCAAGACCGTGCATGTGGGTTAGAGAGTCTTTTCTGAGGAGAGGAAGATAGCCGGGGATCGAGAGATCAGAAGAGGGGATAGACGAGACAAGGTTTGTCTCACAGAGAGCCAGTATATCCGGGCCGTTTGCAGCGAGGAAAGATTCCAGACTGCAGAAGTTTGTCCTAATGCCCCGAATGTTGGAGAACGAAATGTTGAGGGGTTTAGGTGGTTTTTGAGAGGCTGGTTTAGGGTTAATCTTTCGGTTTTTGTAACTCATGTTGAATTTTGTTTGTAAGATGAGAAAGCCCGAAGTAAAAGAAACAGACAGTTTCGAACGTGACGCGGGCAGAGAGGAGTTGGCAAAATCTGCATCATTATGTGGCCTCAGGACTGCCCACCGGAGGTGACTGCAGGGACAACTTTCCATGTGCGACATGGCACTACAAACACCCCGGTATTATACAACTGTTGATCAGAGCGGCCGCTCAAGACGCTACGCAACTCCTAACTACCAGTCGGAAACAGCAACCAGAGAACTGTCAGCCGTGTACCCTCAGAATGAAGAGGTGTTGCCACAGACTGCACACATCACGGGAGAAACAGAGCTGCACTAATACAGAGGCCGGAGAGAGAAACAGTACCGGGAACCCCTTCCTAGACAAGAAACAAGGTGTAAGCCTCTACTCATGTCCAATAGAAGGGGGGAGTGTTGACCGGGCGGTAGAAGAGACTACCTACTCCTTTTCTCGCTTGTGGTACTCTCTTCCGGCATTTTGTCTTCCTGATACCTACGATCATCAAATATTTAAATGCAACGTCAATAGTAATCTAATAGTAATTTTTCTTAATCCTGCTCCCCCTATTGTATTTTATCCGCTTCACTAAAGCTTTTTCGTCTTCATTCACAGTCAGTAACCCCTTGCGTCCCAATGGCGTTATCGCCTTGTTTGTCGAGAAAGTATTAAAAGAAAAAATGTATGTCCGTATAGCGAAAGTAATTGGAGCAAAACGCAAAATCGTTGAGCCGAGTTCAAATTCCAGTCGAATATTTTTTTTTTTTTTTGCTTTCACTTCCGCACAGACGCCTTAGTGATGTCGTTTCTCACTGGTTGCTGACCTCCTCCTTAATTAAACTGGGCTTATTACTTTAGGGGCAGGCAGTGAGGTAATAGTTACCAATTTAGTCTATCAAACCAGTATTATTGTGCTGTGAAACTGATAATTGCTATACAGTATTGAATCCAATGTCCGCACTGTCTGTATTCATAAACGCTCTATCGCCGACATTGATCACTTTTCCTCTATCATTATCATCCAAATATGTGCTGCATGACTATGGTTTTCCACAACTTCCTATCCCTTGCAGCTCTGAGCAATTTTCGACTGTTTATCACCCGTCCTTATCCTTACTCTGTAATCGATTTACACCAACTCACTCGTTAACCTGCATGCTATATTCAACTACCCCACCTTCCCTCAATAGGTCCCGTGAGTATTGAATTTTCTAAGCCGCCCTTCCTCATAACACGTTCTATATATTTCAACTGTCTCCTGATTTTAAAAATAAGTGTATTTCTAAAGTTTAATCGCTGCTTACGTGTTCAGTCCATGGTACTCTCAGCATCCTTCTGTAAAACTACATCTCTGTTGCCGCGAGTCTCTTCTTAATCTGTGAGAAAATTGCCCAGCATCCACTGCCATATAGGAGATTAGATATTACATAACAGCTCAGAACTCTGTTTCTGCAGTTGGAGATTTGTCTCTAGCTGTACTGGTCAAACTCTGCCTTCGGGCAGAGAGGTTCCCCAGATTGGCAGAGTCGATTGGCAGAGTCGAATGGCAGAGTCGATTGGCAGAGTCGAATGGTAGAGTCGATGGGCAGAGTCGAATGGTAGAGTCGATGGGCAGAGTCGAATGGTAGAGTCGATTGGCAGAGTCGAATGGTAGAGTCGATTGGCAGAGTCGAATGGTAGAGTCGATTGGCAGAGTCGAATGGTAGAGTCGATGGGCAGAGTCGAATGGTAGAGTCGATTGGCAGAGTCGATTGGCAGAGTCGAATGGTAGAGTCGATTGGCAGAGTCGATTGGCAGAGTCGAATGGTAGAGTCGATGGGCAGAGTCGAATGGTAGAGTCGATTGGCAGAGTCGATTGGCAGAGTCGAATGGTAGAGTCGATTGGCAGAGTCGATTGGCAGAGTCGAATGGTAGAGTCGATGGGCAGAGTCGAATGGTAGAGTCGATGGGCAGAATCTCGTCTCGGAAAAAACAGCTACCCGACACCGTCTTATACGGAATTTTGGGCCGAACCTACGGGATCGGTTACCCCACATTAAATTCGGCTTTGTGCCACATCTGACCGCGTGGGGGCGTTGGTAGATATCCTATTCTTTGTTTCTGTCTTAATACTTTACATATATTCTGGAAGGCATCTTTCACGGTTTCGATGCGTCTTCTGGTGTCTATTGAAGTCTATTTTGAAGGCTTGTCTATCACTGAGTGTGTTTATTTTGGTGTTGCCTTCCTGGGACAAACCATCACCATTGTTAAGAGGTTTTTCCCCCTTATGCTGAAAACACCGGTTCTTCTTCTATCACCGAAGTTAAGCAGCCTCGAGCTTGGTCAGTATTTAGATGGATGACCTCTTGAGAATTCCGGGTACTGCAAGCGATGTCGTACAAACCGAAATATGTTTTGCCTTTAAATAACACAAAAAAAAATGTAAAAACAAAACAATTTCTTCTCGCATGCCTTTTCTATTTGTTTATCATTTTTTTAATAGATTCTTCTTCCGAGTCATCCATCAACACAGTGTATTTCACGCGCACTCATATGTGCGCACACACATGCGCGCGCAGACACACACCCACACACATACACACACGCAGGCACATGCAAAAACATACATATATCAATATAAAAAGTGCGAATATCAGTGTGTCACTGTGTCACATTTTTTCAATTAAAGGGGCATAACTCTCGAACTTTCAATAGTTCATGTTACAGAAATTTTGCATTCTCAAGTTTTCGCTATTGCGATTGTTTTCGGCGATTTTTTACGACGAATTATTTTATAACTTGAAAATAAATTTGGGAATGTTCGAAATTAATTGCGAAATCCACTGAAAGTCACCCATGAAATAAAAATAGTTGTTTGTACGAAAAGTAAGGACCTACGCACATCAAATTGCCTTCAAATTAAGTGGCGGCAGAAGAATTATCGTTGAACTTTTAAAAGGTAAGCTTAAATATTAATGTAATACTTAAATGCACCAATCAATTTTGAGTTCTTCTGTAGTTTATTGTTGCCTATCGCATACGGCGTCAGTATGCTTCGCAAAAAGAAATCTCCACCAACAGAGGACCAGATTGCAATCAAATGAACCAAGGCTGCAGCGAGGAAAAGAAAGTCCCGTGCAAATTAAAATCCAGATCAAACGGCGGCCAGGGGCGCCTTGCAATACTGAGAATATGCAAAGACTTAGGGACTCTCAAACTCCTGAACAAGCTGAAGGCCCAATCAAATGCCCTCCGCAGTAGCTACTCTAGATGCCCTCCGACAGAACATCTTTTAAGTTAGTATATGCAAAATTGGTCGGGTTTCGATCCCGGCTTGAAGCAATCGGAAGCCTAGTCACAATGAAGACCTGTGATAATGCGAAACATTCTGTCTGTGGATGACAATATATTCTCCCTGGAAATCCGGTTGAGCTCTCTTGGGGAAAAGGGTAATTTTAAAAACAGTCGCTCCTACTGCTATTAATCCATTGCTCTTCAAATGAATTGAGCTCTCCGGGCCACTAGCGTATTTCATGTAAAAAACGTTACAAAATTTCCTTTTCTCTCTGCCGTGCGACGATAGCACAAGGGTAGGATCCCTGACTTTTGCAAAGTCGGTCATGTTTCGACGCCACCTTGAAGCAATCGGACGTCTAGACACACTGATAGAGCTGTGATACGGCGAAACTGTCTGTGGATATTGAAGCATGTTTGGTTGAATAATCTAGACATATTATGTTAATTTAATTTTATTTTAATCCTCTCATATTTGCATATCAATTTTCTTAATGTTGGTATAAAATTGATGGAGTAGCTGTTTTTTATATTTTTTATTTTCCCAAGTACTTTGCATCTCATCCAAGATCATCTTCAGTAAGGAATTGTTAAGAAAAAGAATAAATGAAAGTTATGAATATGTGTGAATGAACACTATTAAATTCGAAAACTTTGCCGCTATGTAAGGGAGGTAACATAATTGATGCAAATTCTTATTAAACATTGTAATTATGTGTTTTAAAATATTATTTCTAATTTTACTTGGAGTTTTTGACAATTACAATTTCCATATTTTAAAACGTTGCTGTCTTAAACATTTTAGAACTTTGCTGCTTTACACATAATTGATTTTTTATTTATTTATTTTAAATTTTTTTCTTTTGCCGTAAGTTTTGATATGTTCTCGCCTCAGTTAAGAAGAAATTTCAAATCATCTGATATTCCGCTACCAAAAATAACTGAGTACTTTTGGCCGTTAATTTTAAAATTTCAGCGTCCCCCACATTCGTTCACATCTGTAATTGCATCAAATTTTACTTCGGTGACGTCGAAAAGGACGAAATGCGTCACACAAAATTTTTTTTTCCACATTTTATATATATATATATATATATATATATATATATATATATATATATATATATATATATATATATATATATATATATATATATATATATATATATATATGGATTTCTCGCCAATTAAATCATTAACATTTGTATTTGTTTTGTATGAATAATTCATGAATTTGTAAATTAATTGCACCTTTATTGAAATTAAAATAACTGATCCAAGTGCAACTTTTGGATAATAAGTGCAATTACTGTAATTATTGAACAATATAGTTCATGCCACTTTGTTAGAAAATTTACCAGTAAAAAAGAATTCGCCTATCACCATATTTGTACAAGAACGCACAATTGTAAAATCTAAAATCAAACTCAGCGTTGCTACTGCACGCTCCAAAAACAATAACTCATTTCTAATAGCATTTTTCGGATACAACAATACATATATTTTCGTTGTCCTCTTATTACTGAGAGTAAAACAAGAACAACATCTATTCCATACCTGAAGATGTCTGTAGGAACAGACGAAAGCTTGTAGTAAAAATAAGAACTAATGCAAAAGAAATTTATAAAAACAAGGATCTTTTCATTCATAACAGGTTCGGGGTTTTTGTATATTATTTGAATTGTAAGCGACCATGGATTTCTCACCAATTAAATTATTAACCTGTGTATTTGTTTTTGTATGAATAATTCATGAATTTATATATATATATATATATATATATATATATATTTGGTTGGATTGATGTGAGTTTGTGACCCTGGGTTTCACGCTCTGATATTGAGCGCTTTCTAATAAGTACGCGCATATAATATATAAATAATTATATATATATATATTTATATTTATATTTATATACACACACTTTTCATATATATATATATATATATATATATATATATATATATATATATATATATATATGAATGATTAATTTCATTTGCATTAATACTCTATTGTGGAACCAAGTGACGTTCTAACTCGATACAGCGTTCTGGTGGTACATTGGTAAGCATACTAGCTCGTTAACCATTACTTCACGAGGATCTTACTCTGAACTAAAATAAACAATACGCAGTACGCATTGAGATCCGAATTCACTACAAAATAGTAATGATGCGACAAACTAGCTCGTTAACCATTACCCCATTGCGAAAGTAGGTATTTAGTAAATTTAGATCTATGTATTCAGGTCGCAGATTTGTGATCCAAGAGAAAAGCGAACTTACATAACAGTTTGATAACTTATTAACCATTACTTCGGAATAAAGCAATCAACGTTTAATGTAAACAAGTGAGAATGGAAGTCATTACACGATAGTTTGGTAGAATAGCTCTTTAACCATTAATCCAAAAGTGCGCCTCATTAAGTACTACGCTCACTTTAATGCGGCTTGATATCACAAATATTGTATCACCCAGTGAGGATCGACATCACTGAATGGTAGTAATGTTCTGCTGAAATAATTCATTAACCATTACTCACCAGTGACGCTCGGAATCTATGATGGCTACGAACATCTCCATCTCTCCCAGTCCATCTCTATATATATATTCCCTCTCTTCCTCTCCATTTCTCTCGCCATCTCTGTCTCACTTTCCTGCCATCTCTCTCTCTCCCCCCTCTCTCTCTCTCTCTCTCTCTCTCTCTGTATATATATATATATATATATATATATATATATATATATATATATATCTTTCCATATCTATCATTCTGTTCTTACGTATTGTATTCCTGAATGTTTCTATTTACATACACATCTAATATATATATATATATATATATATATATATATATATATATATATATTTATTCCGGACTAGATCGAGAAAAAATGTGGCTCCCAACTGTTACCTACTTAAGGAATGCGCATCGCATTTCTTTCAGGGGGCACATTTAGTATGGCATCTCGATCTAGGCCAGTTGATATTAATTCCAGTGTGTAAGAACACGCACACACACCTACACACACAAAAAAAATACACACTCATACACAAAACACACACATATATATATATATATATATATATATATATATATATATATATATATATATATATATATCAGCTATATTTGCGTTGCAAATATGATTTCCCCTGACAACCGACAAATAAGTTTTTACGGCGTGCAGTTTCCAGCCCCGAGGCCAACCAGGTTTTAATTCAGAAATATTCTTCTCCTAGACAGGTTGACAACGAAGGCTTAAGGCACCGGTCTGCTCTGTTATTTTATCCACAGATGAGAGAAAAATTACCTAGGTACCTATAAACCCTGCTAACTAGACCGGAAATTGAAATCGGTTCGCCAATTGTCATTTACGGTCCACTAACTGTTACACACAGCTTTCGTGAATATTCAGGCTACTTGATGTAAATAAATAATCATACGGGTTTAATATTTAAATCAGAACATCTACTCAAATATCGCTATCCATTAAAAATAACGTTTAAACAAATATATTAAAAATATACCGGATTTAATCCAATTTCCTAAAATGTGTTTATATTAGGATACGAAATAAACCAGATATGTCTATTTCGAGAATCGGGAAACAAAATGGTTCAAAAGCTCTATTCGGGGTTTGTTTGGTGAGAGAGGTCAAGGTAGGTCAGAAATGAAGCTTTCCACTATGGATGCTCAGGTTCGAATCCTGCCGGAGGGTGCATATTTTTCTAATATTCAGGCCAGTAGATGTAAATAAATTTACTGTTTAATAATAAAAAACAGAGCATCTACTCAGAGTATCCATTGAAAATAACGTTTAAAATATATATATATATATATATATATATATATATATATATATATATATATATATATATATATATATACTAATCGGTATCACCCATGAAAGCAGTACAGTTTAGTTTTCGATGCGTTAAGATTGACAAAACATCTCTTTCCCCAGTTAGCGACGGTCTTTAGGTCATTTTGTATAACGGCTGTCATTTTGCCCTTGTCGGTCTGAACAGCCTTACTATCGAGGCAGGGTAAATGGTAGTGTCGTTCGCGTTGAGTCCAAGTTGAGAGTT